TTCTTCATGAGACTGGCTGGTGCTGCCATTCCCACGCCTCTGAGCTCACCTGCACGTTCCATGGGGAGCCAGCTTTACCGCGGAAAGCGGAGGCAGAAATCCCAACACTGAATGAAAATCAAAACCACAGTGAGAAACCACGCCACCGCGACAAGGAGGGCCAGGATCAAAACATCGGCAATAGGCCGGGCGCGGTGGCTCACGTCTGTGATCCCAGCACTCTGGGAGGCTGAGGTGTGAGGATCACCTGAGGTTGGGAGTTCAAGACCATCCTGCCTCACACGGTGAAACCCCGTCTCTACTAAAAATACAAAATGAGCTGGGCGTGGTGGTGGGCACCTGTAATCCCAGCTACTCGGGAACTCCAGCCTGGGTGACAGAGCAAGACTCTGTCTCAAAAAAAAAAAAAAAAAAAATTGACAGTAACAAGTGGTGAGGATGTAGAGGAACTGGAACCCACATCTGTGGCTGGTGGGAAGGTAAGGTGGGCAGCTGCTTGCTGAACAGTGCAGCAGTTCCTCTGATGGGTTAATATGAAGACACCAGCAGACCCAGCGATTCTCCCAGATACACACCCGAAAGTAAAAACATACACCCACATAAAAACTTGTAGAGTGCTACAAACCCAAAAGGCAGAAACAAACCAAGTGGCCATCGACGGCTGAATGGGTAGACACATCTACACAGCAGAACATGACTCAGCCGTGAAAAGGAAGGAGACACTGACCCAGGCCACGGTGCTGATGCACCTTGAGGACGTCACGCTCAGTGAGATACGCCAGACACAAAAGGCCGCGTGGTGTGTGATCCCATTTCTTTTTTTTTCTTTGTTCTTGTTTTTTTTTTTTTTGAGATGGAGTCTCGCTCTGTCACTCATGCTGGAGTGCAACAGCGTGATCTCGGCTCACTGCAACCTCGGCCTCCTGGGTTCAAGCGATTCTGTCTCAGCCTCCAGAGTAGCTGGGATTACAGGCGCTTGCCACCACACCCAGCTGAGTTTACACTTTGTTTGTATTTATTTTTTGAGACACGGTCTTGCTCTGTCACCCAGGCTGGAGTCCAGTGGTGCAATCACAGCTCACCACAGCCTGACTGCAGGTGTGCACCACCACGCCCTGCTAATTTTTGTATTTTTTTTTTTTGTAAAAACAGGGTTTCGTCATCTTGCCCAGGCTGGTCTCGAACTCCTGGGCTCAGGCGATCTGCCTGTCTTGGCCTCCCACAGTGCAGGGATTACAGGTGTGAGCCACTGTGCCAGGCCCGAACTCTACACTTAAAACAGTGAACTGTATGGCATGTGAACTATAGCCCAATAAAGCTGTTTTTTGGCCGGGCGCGGTGGCTCAAGCCTGTAATCCCAGCACTTTGGGAGGCCGAGACGGGCGGATCACGAGGTCAGGAGATGGAGACCATCCTGGCTAACACGGTGAAACCCCGTCTCTACTAAAAAAAAATACAAAAAATTAGCCGGGCGTGGTGGCGGCGCCTGTAGTCCCAGCTATTTGGGAGGCTGAAGCAGGAGAATGGCGTAAACCCGGGAGGCAGAGCTTGCAGTGAGCCGAGATCATGTCACTGCACTCCAGCCTGGGCAACAGAGCGAGACTCCGTCTCAAATAAACAAATTAAAAAATAAATAAATAAATAAAATCCCATGATGGTGGGGTGCGGTGGCTCACGCCTGTAATCCCAGCACTTTGGGAGGCCAAGGCGGGCAGAATTGCCTGATCCCAGGAGTTCTAGACCAGCCTGGGCAGCATAGTGAGACCCCATCGCGACAAAAGTTAGCTCAGTGTGGTGGCACCCGTCTGTGCTCGCAGCTACTCAGGAGGCTGAGGGAGGAGGATCGCTTGACCCCGGGAGATCGAGGCTGCAGGGAGTTAGGACGGCACCACTGCACTCCAGCCTACGCAGCACAGTAAGACCCTGTCTCAAAAATTATAATCATAATCCAACAAAATCCTACCGTGGCCACTTTCTAGAACCCAGGCCTGCTGTGTGGGTGACGGGAGGCCACCAGGAGCCTACGTCAGACATCAAGAGGCTGAGATCCTAATCGCTGCCTGACACGTGCTGGCCTCCAAAACTGCACGTCCCCAGGCAGTGAGGTTCCAGGTGTCCAGGGAAAGAACTCGTGGCCCTGAGCCTGCTGCGCCCGGCCCCCCCTGCAGCCTGGCCACCCACCAGACCTGCAGCCGACAGCAGAATTTCACAGCTGTCGAGGATTTGCAGGCGGAAGTTAGCCCCGAGGCCTGCCAGGATCTGGGAGGAAGAGGCAGAGACAGTGCCAAGCGGCCGGCCGGCGGGCCAGGGCTGCCACGTGCCAGGAAGGGGGTGGGGCAGGCGCCAGAGTCAACAGGGGCCCCAGCGGGGGTGCGGGGGTAACACCGACTGGGCTGGTTGGGCCCAGGCCACTGTTGACACTGGGAACGCAGGTGCCTGGCCAGCTGGGCGGGCGGCAGCATCAGCGGCTGGACCTGCCACAAACGGCCCAGGGTAAGATCCCAGGCCCGGCCGGGCGCGGTGGCTCAGGCCTGCAATCCCAGCACTTTGGGAGGCTGAGTTAGGCAGATCACTTGAGCCCAGGAGTTTGAGACCAACCTGGGCAACATAGCGAGAACCCTTCTCTAGGGGAAAAAAAAAAAGACAGGACTGCAGGGCGGGGGTCTCCCCCAAGACCCACTGCCCTCGGCCCCCATCTTCTCGGAGTTCCAATCCCGTCTCCTGCAAGACCCAGAGGCAGCACCCGGCTGCTACACACAACACCCAGCCCGGAGGCAGCACCAGGTCCCTACACACAACACCCAGCCCGGAGGAGGCACCAGGTCCCTACACACAACGCCCAGTCCGGAGGCGGCACCAGGTCCCTACACACAATGCCCAGCCCGGAGGAGGCACCAGGTCCCTACACACAACGCCCAGCCCAGAGGCGGCACCAGGTCCCTACACACAATGCCCAGCCCGGAGGCAGCACCAGGTCCCTACACACAAGGCCCAGCCCGGAGGCGGCACCAGGTCCCTACACACAACACCCAGCCCGGAGGCAGCACCAGGTCCCTACACACAACACCCAGCCCAGAGGAGGCACCAGGTCCCTACACACAAGCCAAGCTTTGGTCTACCTCTCAGGGCTTCTGTGCAGTCCGTTCCCGGTACACCCAGGGGGCAGGTGCGGGGGACCAGGGGGCCGGGCACGAGGCAGGAGCTCCATGAATACCTGAGGCCGCTGGTGACACAGTGACTGCCTCCCTGCTCTGGCCTCAGTTTCCCCATCTTGGCTGCCCGCTGCAGAAAAACCCTGCGTGGCACCTTGGACCCTGACCCGGGTGTCGCCCAGACAAGCTGGACAGCGGCTTCTGCCTCCCGCCTTTGTTCTGGACACGCTGCGGGTTGTGGGGTCAGGGCGCCTGGCCCCTCGTCCCTGCCTGATCTGGGCCGGTCACCCTAAAACTCCCCCATCGGCTTTGGGCCTCGGAAGCCGCGGCTGTCTGGGCGGCGCACGTGTCCAGGGTCAGGTTCCCCTCTGAGCCCCGAAGGACCGACTGAATGGGGGGCCTTGACCCTCCCTCTGGGCTTGGCTATAACCTTGCGGGGATGGAGGTCTCTGTCCAGCTCCTGCCGCCCCCCTAGCCCAGGGCTTGCTGCGGGCTGAGTCCCGGGCAGACGGCAAATATTGGGTGAATAAACAAATGAAATTAAAGAGAATCCACTCTCAACACGCTCATCTGTACCATCTTAAACCCAGAAAAGATCACAAGACCCCTTCTCCCAGCGCTGAGCCTCTGTTTTCTCACTGGCAAAATGGGACTCGCGGTGGCCCGTGGAGTATCCGCTTCTGCAGGAGAGGGAAACTGAGTCACGGAGCAGGGTGGAATTGGCGAGACGCGCCCCTCCCCGAGTCCCCGCCGCAGCCCTGGCCGTTCTCCCACACCGTGTCCAGTTTTCAGCTCTTCACTCTTTGTGAGTTTCCAGGCAGTCCAAACTTAAGTCTCCTGAGGGTTGCTGGGGTTAGAACCGCCCCTTAAGCTACCAGGCACCCCTGGAGTCAGGAGCCCCGGGAGGCCCCACTGGGAATCTGTGCCTCGGCCCCTCCTAGGAGGCTCCTCGGAGCGGATTCTGGAAGCCCAGGAAGCCCAGGGTTGAAGGGGCTGCCCCAAGGCAGGCATGTCCCAGCGTGTCCATCACCCACCTCCCTGCGGGAGCCCAGACCAGCCTCCAGCCCCGGGCGAGGAGGTGGTTCCCCACAGCCGCACCCAGAGGTCAGGGCAGAGCCCAGCTGGCCGAGGGCTGGAATGTGAGCCTGGCCACCATCTGGTTTCCATCTGCCCAGCCCAGCACGGTCCAACTTCAAAGCATCCCCCGCTCGGCCACTTCCTCTGGCCTGGCCGCCTGCAGGGAAAGGCTGGAGCGGCCCCTACTTCCTCCTTCAGCCTGGGGTCCCTAAGACCCCCCTGCCGGCCCCGGCCTTAACCATCCACTCGGAGCCTCACAGACGCTTTCTCCTGCGTCTCCTACAGTCACACCTGAGTCACCCCCAGGTCCCCTCGGCTGCTGGCTGCAGCCTGCAACCCCCCATGGCTCTCCACAGATGCCAGGGACGGAGGAGGCCTTGTCACCGCGTCACCAAGGCCCCGGTCTCTCTGCCCGCATCGCCCACATGCCTGGTTCCTCCAGCCCACGCCCAGCTCGGGCTGGCGCCAGCCTCCCTCCCAGACCCGCCTTCCCTCTCTGCCCCATCACCTCCAATACGGGGGCCGTGAAGCCCCCCAGCTTTCTCTTTCGCGGCGGGCACGCCTCACAAACCCCACGTCAGAGCAATGAACAGCCGGCTGGTCAAGCCCACAGCCAGGAGGGAAGCACAGGAAGCAGAGCTACCGCAGGAATCCCCAGCTCTCAACTCGACGCCCGGCTCAGCACACACCCCGCGCAACGGGGGGCCTTCGAAGGGCCCCAGTGGGCCCGGGAGCAGGTGCTCGGCCGCCACACGGGACGCGTCCACTCACCTGCTTAAACTGCTCCTCATACGTCCAGTCCCCGTGGTCAGGCGGCTGCAGCTGCGGAGCTACGTGGGCCCCTCCGGTGTGGGCAGGGCCAGGCCCCGGCCGCTCCTGGCCCCCCAGCGCCCTGGGAACGCCATCGCCTCGGAAGGCCTGGGGTGGCTGGGCCTTTCGGGGGAACAGCGCTGTGGGGCCCAAGTTGGCAGGGCCTGGGGGCCCCAGCCCCTCCTCGTCCTCCTCCTCATCCTCATCCTCGTAATCCTCCTCCTCCTCTTCATCCTCCCCGAGGTCTTCCTCCATCTCCTCCTCCTCCCATTTGGGCTTCCTGGGGTGAGCAGAGGGCAGGAGTCAGGGGAGAAGGTGCTGGCTCGTACCAGCCTAGGGAGAGACCCGCGCCCCACCCAGCCTCAGTTTCCCTCTCTGGAAATAGGAAGAGCCAGCCGCCGCCAGCTCAGGCTGCAGAGCGCGCCCGTGAGCACAGCCTGCGTGGGGCAGCCGTGACGTCCATTTTGTTCCCAATTAGCCCAGAACAGCACACGCCGTCCCTACAGCGTGAATTTTGGGGCCTTGAAAAGCATCACGCAGGCAGGCACGGTGGCGCATGCCTATAATCCCTGCAGCACTCTGGGAGGCCAAGGCGGGAGGATCCTTTGAGCCCAGGAAGTGGAGGCTGCCGTGAGCTATGATGGCACCACTGCACTCCAGCCTGGGCCACAGAGCAAGACCCCGTCTCTTGAAAAAAAAAAAAAATGGGAATCATTGTGGCAGGTTGGTTCCTGCACCATGCATGCCGTCTCAGCTCCACCTCCCATTCCCTCCACAGGGAGAATTCTCCCACCGCTATCTGAAATCCACCCCCACCCTGGCCACTGCCCCTCCACGGCACCCTCCTAGATTTTCTTGCAGCTCTTTGTACAACCTGACATCACCTGCTTCTTTGCTAGGTTTTGTTCGGTTGGTTTTTTTTGTTTTTGAGACAGAGCCTCACTCTGTTACCCAGACTGGAGTGCAGTGGTGCGATCTCTGCTCACTGCAACCTCTGCCTCCCAGGTTCAAGCGATTCTCCTGCCTCAGCCTCCTGAGTAGCTGGGATTGCAGGCGTGGGCCACCGCGCCCGGCATCTTTACTTGCTCAGGTCCTCCCAGGAAGATGCGGGTTCCTGGAGGTCAGGGTCCCACAGCGAGTGAGCCCTCAACCAGCCCTGGGGGGACCCACACGCTATGCAGGTCCGGCTGGCTGCAGATTTTATCTGCCCCTCACGCTGGATCTGCCGCCACTGAATCTGCCATTGTCGTTGCTGGCTACGTTGCTTTAAGTTAACTAAGATGAAACAAAGGCGGCCAGGCGCGGTTGCTCACGCCTGTAATCCCAGCACTTTGGGAGGCCGAGGCGGGCGGATCATGAGGTCAGGAGGTTGAGACCATCCTGGCTAACACGGTGAAATCCCGTCTCTACTAAAAACACACAAAAAAATAGCCAGGCGTGGTGGCGGGCGCCTGTGGTCCTAGCTGCTTGGGAGACTGAGGCACGAGAATGGCGTGAACCCGGGAGGCGGAGCTTGCAGTGAGCCAAGATTGCGCCAAGGCACTCCAGCCTGGGTGACAGAGCGAGACTCCGTCTCAAAAAAAAGATGAAACAAAGTTAAAAACTCAGACCTCAGTTGCCCTGACAACATTTCCAGTGTTTAGCGGCCACTCCTGTGCTAGAGATTAGAAATGGAGAACATTTTTATCATCATCCTGAAAGGCTGACTGCCCGGCACATAGTACAGGGTGGATAAACACTTGCTCAGGGGAACAGGGTCCACAGAACACTCACTTACTCCCTTTATTAAAAAAATGTAAGTTGGAGACCAGACTGGCCTACATGGCAAAATCCCGTCTCTACTAAAAATACAAAAATTGGCCGAGTATGGTGGTATGCGCCTGTGATCCACGCTACTTGGGAGGCTGAGGCAGGAGAATCACTTGAACCCAGGAGGCAGAGGTTGCAGTGAG